TAATCTTTTTCTTTATTCCAATATCTTTCTATCCTTATGTTAAAAATTTAAGAGATTAAATTGACTATTAGTTTGGGCAAAGAATGCTTGCAAATACTTGACTAACCTCCTCAACATTATCACTTTGTTTCTATGTCTAAGTGTTACTCATATTCATAAAACCATGTTTTATTTTCAATATTTGTTTATTTAGTTGATAAAAAAAAATGATCAAAATGAGATATGAATGAAATACATGACTTAAACTTAATTATTCTTAACCTTCATTTGTTTATTTTTCTAAAACTCTGTGCTCTAAACCTAAAAGTTTGTTTGGGCTACTTTTCAGTGAAAGCCCAGGTTAAAGTAACAGAGTTCATAAATCAAAGTTTTACTTATTTTGATATAATTGTATTCTATTTTCATCAGTATTTGTTCATTTAGTAGATAAAAAAAAAGTATTCAAAATAATATATAAATAAATTGCATGCAACTCAAAATAAATTATTCAAGTTTTTTTTTTTTTTTTTTTTTTTTTTTTTTTTTTTTTTTTTTNAATTAACAGGTTGTCTTTTTCGTATTTAAAATATTAAATTGACCACTTTTTCTTTTCGGTAAAAACCTGCTTTTTTAAACGGTCAAATGCAGAAAAGGAAAACTTATTTTTTCCAAACTTGAGTGTTGTACCAAATGTAATGAATTAAAACATAATTTTTCTTTGTTCATAAGTTAAATGGAAAACATAATTATTTAAAATTTTCTGTTATTGTTTATCTCGAATGATTTTATTTGCTATCAATAACTTAAAAAGCCATCTTATTTTTTTTTTACAAAAAATTCAATTGTGCCCTCGTTGCTTGGACTGCAATTGGATGACCAATTGTTTAGAAAAAGACATTTTTCCATGCCACCTTCAAGTAGGCGTCCATTGTGGCATGAATTTCTTATGTGCTGTTATAGGATAGAAAAAAGGCATAAAAATGTGAATTCCATACCTTTTATCTGTACAGTTTTTTTTTTTTACAAACGTTAGACTAATATTTTCGTAAATAATAAAAATTTTTAAAAAATTAATGGGAAATAATGTTTTTCTGGTTAAATATTTAACCAAAAATTCTATCGTTTTTACTTTATATAATTTATTTGTTTATTATACGTACTATAGTCTATGCTATTAAATGATATTTACTTGCAAATGTTATCTCTGTTTTAAAATTCACCCCTCTATTAAAAATTTATTCCTCAAAGATTAATAGAGGTGCAAAATTACTCTCTAAATATTTTTCTTTGGATAACACGGTCATATTTTCTTTAAATTTTTAGTTTATGGACCTCACAGCTCATCGTCGGATCCGGTGAGTCGACCGCCGGTGTCGTTGGCTAATTTACTCATTCTCCGAGGGCGTGAGTGTGAAACGGCTAAGCCCGATATTTTTAGTGCGATTCCGTACACCTCGTGGGTGCCCTCCTCCATGAGGTTGAAAAGTGTGACCTGCGGCTTTCCTTTCTTGCAATACGATAAGACAGCTGTGTTGGCTAACAATGGTCAAATGTCCTATTCTTGTGTTGATTTGTCTATGGGAAGAGCTTGGAGAATGTTCTCTCACAAAGCATACTTTCACCACTATGAACAATGTGGACTCACCTCTGATGACTTCAAACAAAGTGCCATGACTGTGGAACAAATTATCGCTAGCTACAAGTCGCTTCATGTATAAATAATATCATGTGTTATCATCATACGTGTTATAATATATCATATGTGTTATAATATATGTGTTTTTAATTAAATATTCATTTCATTTTTAAGTTTTCTAGTCTTTTATTTATATATAATTTTATACGGGCTGCCCAACTTTCTATGCTTTTTAGAAAAGTGTCTTCTAGTGGTAGTCAGATATGCATAATATACAGAAATGCGCAAACAAAATTCATGGAAAGTGAATTGCAGAAATTTTTTNTGAAATGAAGATGAAAATTCAATGGAAAGTTTTATTGTCTGGTATAAGCCTATGTATAAGTAAAACAAAGTAATAATTAGCTTTATATTTTCAAAAACTCTGCTGAATTTAAAGAAATATATACATTTTATATATTATAATATAGAATTTTATAAAAATTAAAATACTTTTTAAAAAAATCAGTGATTTTTCAAACAAATTGCGACCCTTAATAGCTTTTGAACATACTAAACTTTTTTTTCCTAAAAAATTTTGAAAATTTTTAATTGCAAACTTTAGTTTTCACTTTTTAATTCGTTCAATCTGCAAATTCCTTTGTAAGTCTATTTCGTTTCTACGTCGCCTTTTCAATGATTATTGCTTCGAAATTCCACATAATTTTTTTTTGAATAACAAATATATATACATACATATATATATATAGTACACAATATATATATATATATATTTCCTGGATAAATTATTGATAAAGGGAAAAATAGTGCTAGAACATTAACATTTATATAAAAATTATCATATTTGCCACCAACTTGACGAAATGGATTATGGTATGTGACAACTAAGTCATTAACAAAATTTTAGTCATATTTTTGATGAATCTTTGTTCTTATTTAGGCAACTATTTTCATAGTTTTCGGCAGCTATTTTCATGCATTAGGTTACTAAAAGCAACTATTTTGTCCTTTTTTTCTGTGGCAACCCTGTTAAAGAAAGCTTTCTTCTTTTTAATGTATATATACCCATGTAAGAATCTTTTATTGGCTGCTTTCATTGGATTTAAAACTTTCTAAAATTATAAATATGCTTTTTTAGACTGATTACAAAAAGCATTTATAAGAAAAAAGTTAGTGTTCCTTGTGATGAATGGTATTGCACACATTTTACTGAAAATATTAAGGATAGGTCCAAAATGTAAGTGGGGGTGCCATCCCCTCCGCAGAGGATCAAAATTGTGATGGCATGTCTTCGGATCATCCTCCGGGGTGTTTCCCAGACCGTCGCCAATAACCCATTGTGCAGCTCTAGTGCGACGTAAATTAACAACAACAACAACAGGCCAAAATGTATTGGGCTCATTCCATAACATACCAAGTGTAATAAAAATAAAATCTGTTTTCTTAATTTTTTTTAAATAAATATGATAAAAATTAATATCCAAAATGTTTTTTTTAATATTTAGTTTTATATCTGATATATATATATATCTGATGCTTGACTGTCAAAAATTTGCAACCATTAGGGGAAATAGTTTTGACAGAAGAGGCGACATAAGATCTTGGTGCAGGACTAATAAACAGAGGCAAATTATTAAAAACATCATTAAACGCACCCTGGAGGACGCACTCGCCCCTGATGACATTTTGGATCCGCTCTACACGAATTAATCTCAGTCCCGGTTGTTGGGCTGCCCCCCTGTTCGCTTCCCGTTATTTTGACAACGTTTTGTTGTTTTATCTATCTCATTCGCTTTTTAATTCTGTTTTAATCTATTTATTCACTACATTGTGCTTTTTAATTCGCTTATTTACATTGCCTTTCCTTGCTTTACAAATTTTAGCGTCTCCTTTTAATTGTATTTGATAATTGTTTGTTTTACCACTTTACTCTCAGAGCATTTTAATTATTTTACTGCTGTTGCCATCAGACTCTGTAATGTTTACATAATGTTACTCTGTAATGTTACTTTTTTGTATTTTATGNTAGTGCGACGTAAATTAACAACAACAGGTCCAAAATGTATTGGGCTCATTCCATAACATACCAAGTGTAATAAAAATAAAATCTGTTTTCTTAATTTTTTTTTAATAAATATGATAAAAATTAATATCCAAAATGTTTTTTTTTTATATTTAGTTTTATAATTTGACTTTTAGTTAAAAATTAAGAAACAATTTTTTTCTTCTCCAAAGACTTTGTGCGGTTAAATAATACTAACTTATTGAAATTTTATCATTTTCAGGGAACATGCTGGGATAAATTGTCATTCTACTGTGATGAGCGCTAAAGTTACTGACTGAGGAATATTCATTCAGTCATTATTTTCTGATTTTGTACTGTTATTTATTAAAATGTAAGATTTTTTTGCTCTCTGAAACCCTTAAATATTTGACAGTGTTTTAATTTATTTTTTTTTTTGGCAAAAACCTGTATTTATGGGACTGAAATGTTTAAAAAAAAATATTTTTTCAGTAATTCAAATATTAAGTGAACACCTAAAGAGAGTTGTGCTTATTTTTCCTGACAAAGGGGAGGAAGGGTATGTAAGACCCTAAAATCCCCTTTTTTCCAATTATTTTGAAACAAAAAGAGATTTAGAAAAATGAACATATTCAAATTCGAAAAATATATTAAATTTCGATAAAGAAAAAATTTTCTTAATTAATATCGAAATTTTATGAAACAATCTAAAACTTAAATTTTGCTTTATGCAAAGTCAAATTTTTTATCTGAATTTTATTCTAAAAATTAGATTACTAGAACAAGAATAAAAGACTGAAACAGAGGAGTGTTTTGTTATTTTCTGACGAGAGTATAAGTGGGAGTTTAAAGATAGCTTTTTTTTGTTGTTGTTGTTGACAAAGGGGAGAAAAATCTGAAATTGTCTACAACAAAGAAAAAAAACTCTCACATAATATTTGTGTGGCCTCATAGTGAGGTGGATGTGATTAATTTGTGTCACCTAATCTACATCCTGATTACTTCATTTTTTTAAATTTTTTTAAAAAAGGAATAAAAGAATTCTATATATATACAACATTAAGGGTGTCCATTAAGGACACCTATTGAATTATCCTGAATAAATATCATTGAAAAGTCTTTCTGTTAACCCTTGTACCTAAGATCGTTAACACTAAAATGAAATAAAGGAAATTTAGTTGCGACCTCAATATTCTCATCATGAATTGTTTTATATACATTTAGTAATTACTATAAGAGTTGAGCTAAAAATTTAAAAAAAGACTTTTTATACCGTCCTATCTTTCTAGTTATAATACCAGTTCTGCGTTAAATTCCAAAATGAATTTGAAAGCCAAAGTGTGAATCAAGACACCACTGAAATGAAGATGAAAATTCAATGGAAAGTTTTATTGTCTGGTAATTTTAGATCAATACAGTTCCATTAACACTTAAAAAATACTTTTTAAATTTTACAAAGTTTCAAAAAGAAAAAGTTTTTCCTGTATTGTAATAAAAGCATATTGTATTGTACGTTGAGATCACATAATTTTCTTCTCAGGCAAATAAATGTGAGAAGAAAATTGCAAAAAAAAGAAAAGAAATTCTGAGAGCCATCAAATGCAAGAAAACTAGTATAATTTAAGAGAATTTTTGTGGTAAATTCTCTTTCACCTACTTAAGTCATTTAAAATGAATGTTCAAGAAGACGACCTCCCCTACCCACACATGTGACATCAGCTAATCTTTATCTTTAATATTTATGTATTTTATTCTGGGTGTGTAGCCAAATTACTCAACAAAAAATATTTTTAAGTACTTAAAAAAATATATTATAACTAGACTGGGTTGGAAAGTTTTTGACAATTGACGGTTTTAACCGTCATGTCAAAGAAAAAAAAAAACTTTTGGCATTGTTATTGACAATTGTCAAAAATCATGAAATTTTTTAAGCCTGTAAAACGAATGGCGTTTTCATACGCTAGGGACTGACACTACACTGAAATAGATAGGGGTTGAATTAATTGTGAAAACGTTGAATAGAACAAAGTGTCTTTTTGCATAATTCGTAGCGAAAATCATCATAGTAAAAGAAAAATCTCATTTTGAAAAAGGAAAAGTGAAGCACTTTTTAAAAACGCTATGCACCCTGTTCTAACTGTGATATATTTTTGTTTTGGCAACTTCGATGCATAATTAGTACATTTATGTTCCACGTGACTTCCTGCCTGTCTTTGTGTTAAGTATTCGTGTTAATATATAGGGAAAGAATATAGGCTGTGTTACTTAAGAGAATTGATATTTGACGGGCTTGGCTTACTCGAAATAAAATGAAAAGAACAGTTGCTGACATAAACAAGTGCCACATTTCAACAACTATTGGGGATTGAGATACAGTTGCGGGTATTCCTTTTCAAAATGCAAACAAATTATAGACAGGATTACACAATGGACTTCCGTAATTTGTTTACATTTTGCTATTAAAAACAAATTAGCATTTGAGATTTCTATGTTTATCTGAATTCACTTTGCTATAAATTGAAATGAAGGTGAAAGAGAATTTCCTCTCAAACTCACAGTGGAAGAACATGTTGAGTAAAATTTTAACCTGTATTTAACCCTCTCATATTTCTGTGCAAACGTTCCTCATTGATATTCTTATCTAACATAAACATCTAGGGAGAATGTTATTTGCAGTGACTGTAAGAGGAATTATCTGCTGTAACAAACACTGCTTTGCTAAGTCAAAGATAGTTTTGAAGCCCCAAAGGAAAATAAGCCATGTCTTGAACTTTTATTTCTATATCACTGAGAAGAAATTTACTGGGATTTAAAACCGACAAAAAATTGCATATGTCTAACGAAAATATTAAGCTTTAAAAAAAAATTACAAATTAGGCAGAAATCTATAAATAATTCTCAATTTGCATAGTTTTATGAGCCTAGCTTTTTAAATATTGAAAAATTCGGTTACTAACTTTTTTCATTTAAAAATAATGCGTCATTTTTTATAGATGGACAGACCTGACAGTCATGAATAGCACATGATGAGAAAGTCTTAAAAAAAAACCTTTTAACAATTGAAAATTAGATTATGAATTATTTTCAAAAGATTTCGTTTGACATTCAGAATCATTTTTACGATCAGCCTGAAGAACACTGACCAGAGATAAAGAAAACTCAACAGTTACGGATAACTGTTACAATCTCATAAGAGTTCTAAAAACAACATCTTTGGTTGCTAAAAGGCATTGTTCAATAGGACGGCAGTCTACGAAACAACAGTGAAAATTAGATTATAAACCTTTTCCAAAAAAAATTATGCTTTGATAAATGACATTTAGTGTCATTTTTCATAATCAGCAGCTGACTAGAGAAGGACAAAATTTGATCTAACACGCTATGAGAAGAATTGCGTCTGCAAAGAACATGTTTTTCCACTGAGGTCGTCCCTTTGAAGCTCTCTTAACATTCTGAATACATTAATAACACACAATTTGAATAAAAAATTGTAATAAATTAAGAATACTTCACGGAAAGTATCACCCTTAAGAGATCACACACAGCTTATAAAATAATAAGTTGCGCTTATAAAAATAAATTGAGTCTTCTTTTGTATAGGAAAAGCGTCACCACAATGATCACTAAGTCTGAGTGGACGTGCGACACACTCGAGGATGTCATTGTCTCCTCCTTACTGCCTCCTTCTTCCAGTTCTGGATGTTGTTCCGACCGACTAGGACATCTGAACCAGTATTGATTCACATCACTGTACTTTCCTCCTTTCTTTACAGTCATCTGTTTATCATTGAATTCCCAAAACTTCCTTCCTTTGAAGAAGTATGTATGACCTAGAAAATAGTTTGCATTTCTTAGGTCAATAATCAAAATGTTTATGTATGATCTATTAACTGCTTCCCTGTTATGTATTATCCCCGAGTAAACTCGAGCATAGCAGAATTCGTTTTGTTGTAACACGTTTTTACGCTGCGGAAGCTAAAAATGTTAATCTGCTGTGATTGGAAATTTTTTAAGTTTCGTTCGGAAGTTTTGCTCTTGGATTGTGGGACTGCACACATGTTTTGTGTGACACAATGGTTGCTGAATTGACAAAGAAAAAAAAACATCACTTCACTGGCCTTTGGAAAGTTTGTTTTAAAAACTATCATACAAAGACTAATATTCAACTTTTTTCTTCATTGGCCCGAAATAACTCTGGATAGTGATGGTATGTTTTTTACAACAAAAAAAATTATTTTTAAATTTCAACTTAAAACTTATGTTTTGTTTCACTTCCTTGTATTTATTAATAAATATCTATGCAAAATTTTTACAAATTATTCTTTCAAAAAAATTTGGTAAGGGAAGCGATTAAGACGTTATACGTGGATTTTAAAGGGTTAAATCAATAAATAAAAAAATTATCTTAAATTTTAAAAAAAATATTAAGCTAGAATTTATTCTTGTGTTCAGGAGAATATTATAAATTTGAAATGAATATTAAAAGTTCGATTTAAATACAGAAATAATTGAGAAAATAATTGAAGATGTTTGAAACAGCTTTAATGAGAAAATATATTGTTTTTTAAATTGAAGCAGTCTGTAATCTGTAAATCTTTTTGTAAATCAAAAAATTGAATTTGTTTACTTAACTTTTTTTTAAAAATTTATTTACAGAGTGCTCTCTAATTATATTTTAATTTGCTCAGTTTTACGAAAGTCTTTAGGATTCTGTTCAATTTTTATACTAACTTCTTCACATTCTGACAAATTCCATTATTCTATTTAATTCAACAGTTTTTTAAATAACTAGACTAACGTTTTTTCCGAATCACTTGATAGAATGAAATATAAAAAGTTGTAGCGAAAGGTCTAACTAACTAAAAATATTTAAATTTTTAAATTGTTTTTCTAGTTCACCCCCCTGCACCGGCCAAGTGGCAGAACGGTTAGCGTGCCTGACTGCGGGTTCAAATCCTGCTCAGGGCAGAGATGTGTCACTCTGTTGTGTGATTGTAACCCACCCTCTGAACCGGTATCTGTGGCGTATGTAATGTTGCTCGCCTCCATGACTTGAGCTACAGGATGCTCACCAGGTAATGCAAAATGAGCAACAATTCCGGCATCTTCCATGGCAAAGAACAATAAATTCAGTTACTCCCATTAAAAAAAAAGAAGTTCATATTCCGATTTATTTATGCACTTATTTCTCTGCATCTACATATTGTCATCACCTGTAACCTCTGATTTGCAAAAAAAAAATTTCATGAACCCAGGAAAAGTCTGCTATTTTATTCTTTTTGTTGCATCTTATGTCACAGGAAAATTATTTGCAGTCATGTAAAGAAATGTTGCAAATGATTAAAATAAATATATTACAAAATAATGTTAAATTTCTTTTAGTAAATGAAAGTAATTATGTATTTTTTTCATTGCAACAAAATTAAATAAGTAGTAGGAGATATTTTCAGAGCTATGATTTAGTGCAGTCATAAAATAAAAGTGTCAATAAACTTTTCTGTTTCATCGTACATAGCAGACTATAATAATTCTTATCAGCATGTAGTACATATTACACATTTTATTTCAATGCTATTTCAGCAGTACTATTTGCATAACAAAATACGATAGCTAATAATATTCATAGAAATAGGAAAACAATCTTATTGTTTAACACTAAACAAACATACCAACACTTAGTAAATACCTATTTCAACCATATTCTTGATTGAATGTATGAAATATGGATGTTAGGAAAGAAACAAACTAAAAAAGCTTAATTATGATTTTAAAAAAATTATATATTGCCCATTTTTACGTATTACAAACACAAAGAATAACAATTTTTAATTCGTTGCTCAATGCATTTTTTACATATACAGGGTGCTTCCATTGTACATTTTCCGCATACATATTTCTTCTAATTATTATTATTTCTATAATTCTTATAATTATAAGAGTTATAATTCTTATAATTAATATTATTTCTTCTAAAAACTTGTGCTGTCTCGATTGTTTCGACATTTTTCTGGGTAAAAACTAACAGTTAGCTAGAAATGAAGTAAAGCTATCCAAATAAAATATAAGCTACTGACCAAAACATTTAGTTTCTGTCACTTTTTCTGGCACAAAAATGCCAATCTAAAATGTTAGGTACTTTCTCGAAATTTGAATTAACAGTTATTGTGATTGAACTCACTACGCAACAGTCTTTGCAGAAACTCATCGAATGCAATACGTTGAACACGCATTACATCGTCATTTCTGTTCCAATTACCTTATAAAGAAATGAACTGTCAAATGACTGGTTGTGGTAAAAATAGGTATACGACACGTAATATTCCAAACAAACGAAATACAAAAAAATTTATAATCATAGAATATTAACTGTATAGTATAGTTAGAAAAAGTCATGAAGTCAAATGTGCAAAAACGATATGATGAAAAGCGCATTTTCTATGCAAAAGTTCTTAAACGATCAGGTTAGAGTATGTTTAGTGTTAAACCCTTCAGAAAAATAGACAATGAGTAGGGACCTTACCATCTGTATGTTGAAAAGCAGCATCAATGTGATAGGGAACTCCTCTCCACATGGCCATGTCTCGAGGGTAGTCCAACTCCACCCTCCCCTCTGACTCGTCATACCTCCAGTACTGAGTACCAGAGAAGAGATAAGTCTTGCCATTATATCCCCAGACGAAAGCAGCATCGATCTTTTTGAGATCAGGAGGCAGACCTAGGTCAGTGAGAGGTCTGGGATAACCATATTCTTTTCTATTTCCATTAAAAAGCCAAAACTTGTTCCCTGCAAAGCAATATTCAATCCTTAAGCCATTTATGGATCGATGGTATTTCATTCTCGTTTTAATGGAGTCGTTTATAACCCTGATTGAATGAAAATCCAGATTTAACTAAGAAATTAGAGCACTCCTGATGTACCCTGGAATTCCGGGGCTATCGTATCGTCCTTCCGGGTCCAAAATTGAGAAGCAGAGCAAGTGATTTTTCCGGGAATATATTTTATATTATAGCCCGCGTTGAATAGCCGACCCAATTTAATGGGTTAACGACTACTCGCGTTCAACTCCGTATCCTTGTCATTTTGAACCCAATTCAGAAGACAAGGAAACTCCTGCATTAAATATTGGGAGAAATGTTGCCTTCGTGGAGGTCTTTTTGATGGAGCAAACCCGCATTTGCGTTACATGGAGAGGAAGAGCATGAGAACTTCCCACGGTTAGCTTGACGGCAAGGGGACTCTAACCCGTGATCCCTCTACCACATTTCACGTCGGTGCAAGCCGGATTTCATATCAACTGGGATTCAAACTCGGTTCGCCTCAGCGGAAGGCTCTTCAGCCATCTTCTGGGAATAGAGTGGAATTCTGCATTTCTTGAGATCATTAGTTTTCGAACATCAAAAACATAATCCGAAGAAATTTTTCCCGGAATACCGCAGTCAAAAATCGCCCGTTAGCATACATGTCATTTTGACGATTTCTCGGATTTTCGCCATTTTGAATATTCTTATTCACGTGATTTTAAATATCCAGCACTGTTTTTCGTATTTACCTAATATAAAAGTGACACGATGCGATGTGTAGTCACACAATTTAAAAAATTGTACATTGCGATTCGTGTTCACGCGATTTAAAAGTTCAACGTCACAATTCATATTCACGCGTATTTAAAATGCAATCTTGCGATTTTTATTCCCGCGTTTGTAATATCAAACATCGATTTTCGTATTTATACGGGATTTTAAAAGCTATGCGCATAGCGATACGCATTCACATTAAATTGATTGATTTTGTTTTAAAAAAAGTTCATTAAGGAAGGAAACGTAAAATATTCGATTCGGGGACCCCCTCTGATGTGGGGGCCTTAGTCATTCTCTGGTCATATAATGACTCAGTGTTGGTCATAAAAGCTGTTCCATAGAGCTGTTGAGTTAACTATTTTGGTAAGGAATTAGTGTCCAATAGAGAAGTTAAGAGCCACTTACCAGAGAAAAATACAATTTTTGTGTCAACAGGACGTTCATAGACTGCATCAATATGCTGTAATTCTGCTTCCTGCCAAAATTGCTCAATTTTTACGGGATAACCTTTCATCAAACCTAGACTGTTCAATCTCCAGAAAAACTAAAATAGATTTGTTTATCAGCCCTTGATTTCACACAACATAACATAGAATATTTTAAATAAAAGTAATTATTGAAATAACGTGGGAACTGATTCTCCAGATTTCGATAGCGTTTTGTTTTCTATTCAAATGTAATTCATAGATTTCAACTCCTTTGTGTGTGTCTTTATTTTTCCTAATCATTTTTAACCATCACGTTAAACATGTATGTTATAATATATATTTTAAAAACATATTGGTTAGCTTGGCATAAAATGTTAGAGAATTTTATCAATCTAGAAAAATCAAGAAAAAGTCTGCAGATTTAGTTAATATATTCTAAAAGTAATTGGTTTGAGGTATCTATCTATCCATTCAAATATTTTAACCCCCAAAATATAGTTCAGTAACAATAATAATAATCATTGTTTGTTGTTGATAGCAATGCTTTGTAATTTGTTTAAGAATAAGTTATAATTGAAAAATTAAATTTTAAAATTTATGGTCTGAAAAAATTAGGGAAATTTGATAAAATCAGTCTTAAAAAAATCGAGAGAAATTTCTTTCTGGGTATTTGTGGTCACCCTGATTTAAGACATTCAATCAACTTGTGATTTACTTTCTTTAGTTCATTCTGTTTCCACTGTTTATTCATTTTTTGTTTTGACTCCTATCATACGTCAAACAATGAACTAATCGTTAAGACACGATTCCTAGCAGATCACCGAAGTCAAGCATCACTGGCGGCGGTCGGTTTGCGGGTGGGTGAAAACTTGGATCAGTCTGGCCAACCTGGCTACCACAGTCCTAATATATATCTATATGAATAATGAAAACCTTCTTATATTTTCTTATAGAAACTGAATAGTGAAAACCTTCTTATATTTACATCCTACTAAGTAATTAAGTAATATATATAATTTTGGAGCGGTTTTGTCCCCAAACCCTTCCCAAAACTATGCCACTGCCTACTAAATCACTTGTTTATCCTCTTGTGTTTTGTTTTTTTTCTTATTCAAAAATCCAAATTTTTAGTGCATTGTGCATAATATTAAATGTTTTAAAAAAGAATGCTAATTTTAAAATAAATCACATAGTTGATCTGACTGATGATTTTCTGGTCACTCCTGAAAAAAATACAATAGCAGTAATAAAAAATATGAAGTGGTGTAAAAAATAAAACTTTCAACATTGACATTGTCGACATTTTTGAAATTCCGCAACTGGCTCGCACCGACCACAATGCTGGTGTAAAATATCATCAGTGGTAGACGGGTCGTGGATTATAGTTCTCTTGCTGTCAGTCTAACCGTTGGAGGTTTTCGTGATTTTCCTCTCAATGTAACGCAAATGATCGTTAGTTCCATCAAAAAGTCCAACACGAAGGCTCCCAATACTTGATCTAGGAGTTCCCTTGTCTTCTGGATTATAGGTTCAAAGTTACGGAGTTCAGCATTGGTAGTCGTAAACTCAAAATTGGGTCGGCTGTTCAATGACGGTTATAAAAAAACTATGGCAATCGATGATTATCGCATTTTTAATAATGGACTATATATATACAGGTGGTTATCAAAATAATGGAAACACCCCAGATTTTGAAGGAATCCTTTATTAATATGGCGTAGGACCGCCTTTTGCATGCAAAACAGCTTGGATTCGCCTAGGAATCGAATCATACAAATTCTGAATAGTGTTTAGAGGAATATTGTACCATTCTTCATAGAGATATTGTGAAAGTTCCGTGAGAGATGCCGGTGGAGGATATCGATTCCGGATTGAAAGCTCTAAAATAGACCACAACGGTTCGATTATATTGAGATATGGGGACTGTGCTGGCCAAGGTAGATGTTCCACTTCATCCTCATGTTCATCAAACCTTGATTGGACAACTCTGGCTGCATGAATAGGGGGATTATCATCATGGAAAATTCCATCTCCTGCAGGAAACAAAATTTGCATCATAGGATGGACCTGGTCAGCTAAAATTTCTCTATACTTCTCCCCAGTGATCCTTCCTTTCAGGGTTACCATTGGGCCAGCAGAAAACCATGACACGGCTGCCCATACCATGGCCGATCCACCACCATGCTTGACAGTTGGATGGAGGCAATCAGGATCATACGCTTGTGCAGGTGTTCTCCAGACATGTACCCGTCCTGTTGTGGGGGAAAGTGTGAAAGACGATTCGTCTGACCATAGAACAGTCTTCCACTTATCAATCGACCAGGTTTTGTGGTTGTGGCACCACTCTACACGACGTTTTGCATTAGCATCTGTGACAAGTGGCTTGGGAATTGCTGTTCTGCCGTAAATGTTCTCTTTATGAAGGTATCTCCTAACTGTAATTGTTGACACTGGAGAATCCAGATGCTGATTGAGCTCTGCGGTCACTTTGGCTGCGGTTGTTTTCTTTTTAGACATTACAATTCGCTTCAATACCCGTCGATCTCTTTCACTCAGCTTCTCATTCCGTTCACTATTTTGCTTTGATGAGCTTGTCTTTCCGCGCTGTGTGTATGCTGTCATGACTTTAGACACCGTACCTCTAGAAACGCCTAAAAGCTGGGATGTTTCGGTCACTGTTGCTCCAACTAGTCGGGCTCCTACAATTTGGCCTCTCTGAAAATCTGTGAGGTCTGACATTTTACGCTTCTGACAAAAAATCAAAACGTAGACAACTCTGCTAAAGCTCTCTCATACCACCTAATAT